GATGAAGAGCTTCCCAGACAAGAAAACTAAAGGAATTAATCATCACCAAACCACAATTATATGAAGTGTTAAAGGGATTTACTTTAGAAAAAGGTCAAAACTATGAACAATAAGGTGGCAATAAATATATATCAAAAACTGAGTCTACAAAACAATATAAGCAAACAAGAACAGAGACAGAATCATGGATATGGAGAGCATTTTGATGGTTGATAGAGGGGAGAGGATTGTCGGGAAGTGGGTGAAGAGGTGAGGGGATTAAGAAGTACAAATAGATAGTTACAGAATGGCCATGGGGATGTAAAGTACAGTATACGAAGTGGAGTAGCCAAAGAACCTACTTATGACCCATGAACGTGAACAGTGGTGGGGGAATTGCCTGCAGGAGTGGGGGGTGCTGGGTGGAGGGAGGCAAGGGGAGAAATTGGGACAACTGTAATAACATAACCAATAAAATAGAATTTAAAAAATAAAAGTTAAAAAAATTACAATGAGGTACCACTACGTACCTATCAGAATGGCTAAAAATAAAACAAAATGAAATAAAATAATAACATAATAAAAATTAACAATGCCAAATGCTGGTAAGGATGTGGAGAAAATAGATTCACTCATATGTTACTGGTGTATTACACCCAATCTGGAAAACAATGTGGCATTTTCTTTAAAAAACTAAACAAGCAAATACTATATAATGTAGCAGTTGCTCTCCTGGGCATTTATCCCAGAGAAATGAAGACATGTTCACATAAAGATTATACCTGCATATTTACAGCAGCTTTATTTATAGTAGCCCAAAGCTGAAAACAACCCAAATATCCTTCAACAGGTGAACGGTTAAACAAACTGTGGTGTATCAATTCTGTGTTACAATACTCAGATAATTATGCTGAGTGAAATAAAAAAGCTAATTCCAAAAGGTTATACACTGTGAATCTATTTATATAACGTTCTTGAAATGACAAGTTTGTAGAAATGGAGAACAGGATAGTAATTGCTAAAGGGTAAGGAGGGAGGTGGAGGCCGGAGGGAGTAGGTGTGGCCGTGAAAGGGCAGCATAAAGGATCCTGGTGATGGTGGGGATATTTTGTGTATCGACTGTATCAACATTCACATTCTGGTTGTGAAGAGGCTACCATCGGGAGAAAGTGGGTAAAGGTACATGGGGTTTCTGTGGTATTTCTTACAACTACATGTGAATTTATAATTGTCTCAAAAATGCTAATTTTAAAAAGCAACAGAAGAAACTGTTAGGGAAAGTTTGGTTTGAACAAATAAAAGTTTTACCTTCTGATGATGAAACTTCACAAAGTTTAGAAGTCAATCCTAAACTGGAAAAATACTTAACAACAAATATGAAAAGAAGTGATTTTTTTAAAAATATTTATTTATTTATTTATTTGTTTGTTTGTTTGTTTATAAAGAGGAAGGGAAGGAGAGAGGGAAACATCAATGTGTGGTTTTTTTCTCTCACATCCCCCTACTAGGGACCTAGCCTGCAACCCAGGCATGTCCCCTGGCTGGGAATCAAACCCGTGACCCTTTGGTTTACAGGCCTGCTCTCTATCCCCTGAGCTACACCCCCCAGGGCAAGAAGTGATTTTTAATATATAAAAAGTTCTAATTTGGAAAACAGTGATATCTTCCTATACAAGCAGTGCACAAAAAAAATGCAGCTGGCCACAAAATACATGAAAAAGTATTTCAATCTCACTAGTGATCAAGGGAATGAAAATTGGGATTCCTTTCCCTCCAAATTGCAAATGTTCATTATATAATCATGTTCCCAAATAAGGTAAAATCCTTATTACTTTATTTTCTACCTACCTCTTAGGTGTTGGGGAATTTTAGCTACAAATGACTTTTAAAGATATTAGCCTTTTCTAATTTTATTTAACAGTGGCATTACATTTCTAACCACATTATCATTATTTTACATCAATAATTCTTACTCATTGTTTGCCAGTTTCCTGTATATAGTATCTTTTTTCGTGAATTAAAATTTTTTATTAATTTTTGTATTTGTCAGAATAATTCCTTAAGTACCTCCCCCATCCCACCCCCATATAGAGTGGTGTATTTTCTGCATGCTTGGATATATGTACATATCATTTTTACCTTTATACAAATAATTTGTGTTTATTTACAAATAAAAAAGTGATACGATCATGCCATTTTCCTGTACAGACACGAGAGCATTACTTCCTTCTCCACATTCACTGATGTGGAAGAAGAGGAATCCTGTCTGAGTCCGCTGCTTTCTCCGTGGGCAGCCTGCTTTTAGAGAGCTGGTTTGGTTTCCGCCTGGGAATCTCTGGTTTTGCACTCACCCCTTTGTGTTTGGGCAGGCTCGTTGGCATATGTCTCAGTATGTATGAATGTGTGGATTTTTTCATAGTGTTTTCATCTAGCATTTATAATTTCTTTGGTTGTCGCTTTCATTTAACCTACTCCGCCTTCTCATTCTAGAATTCCACTAGTTCTGAGATTGGATATCCTGGGTCAGTCTTCCATGCAGCTTATCTTTTTTCTCATAATTTCTGTTTCTTTGTCATTTTTATCTTTGCCTTAGAGACTTCTCAACTTGGACTTCTAATATACTAATTTGGTTTTTAGCCATGTCCATTTCAATCTGCTATTTTCTTCCTCCATTGAGTTTAAATGTTTTATGTAATGATGACTTTGTATTTCTAATAGCTCTGTCTTACTTTGTTTTTGCTCCCTTTTTACATTGAAGCCTGGTTGGTTTTATTGGCAAATTACCCCTCTGAATATCACTAGGAATATCAGTTTCGAGTTGACCGACATTAACTCCTGTTTCCTGCATGGACTGTTTTTTAGGGCCTCTTTGCAGAGTTTGCTTCATTTGGTTCCCCTGTTTCAAACTTTTGCTTTTACTCATAGGACCAGCCATTTTTTGTTGCTTTTTATATTTTTAATGCAGTTCTTGAGTAACCCACTAATGTTGGGTGACAGGCCACCTCAGCAGTTGTGGGGGTCACTTCGATTTTCTTCAGCAGGCCTCCCCGCCTTAAACCAAAGCAGATAGCGAGGGGAAGCTTTGTTCTTGGTGTGGGGAGAAGACCGGGCATGCCAGGAAATGGGCTTCTCCTAAGGACTCAGTGGTGGAGAACGTAAGCTGTTGACCAGAGAGGTAGGGCGGGCCTTGGGCACCTGGACTCCGTTTCATCGGGCATGGCGTGCGCCTGCAAGTTAAGGTCCTGCCTGTGACCAGGTGGGTGTGGTAAGGTGGACAGTTTTTTATGTCACTGGTAGGACTAAAGATTTGTACCATTCTTCTGGAAAGCAGTTTGGCAGAGTATAAAAAAAGGGGTTTTAAATGTCCATTCTCTGTGGTCTTCATAGTTTTCATATTTCTTGAAGTATATCTTAAAGAAACAGGGAAATAGAAATGGACTTATATGCAGACCTCTTAACTGCTAGGTTACTTACAGTAAGGGAAAACTGGAAAGAACCATGTCTTACAGAAGAGGTGGGGTGAATCAGGTCAGTCAGGTGTAGCCGTATGCTGCCGTGTTCTGCAGCCAGCTCTGAAACAGCTAATGACATGGAGAGATGCTCACGATACAATGTTGAAAAAAAATTGATGTAACATTTTATATACAGCATGGTCCTTCTTTAGTAAAAAATATGCTTATATAGGATAAAAAGGTCAGAAGTGATACAACAAATTATCATCAGTAGTGGAATTCTAGGTGATTTGTATTTTCTTTCCAAAACCTCTATTTTTCAAATTTTCTATGAGTCTGTGACTTTTATAATTAGGAAAAAAACAGTAAATGTTTAAAATGTCTCCTCTTACTGTACACTGCACCAAAAAGATCTGCTTTTCAGAATTTGTAGGCAGAAAGTGGTTTACACTCGGGCTGAATTTGCCGACGGTCATAATGTGCACACGGGGGTTGAATCCGGCCTCCCACACTGGGAGGGAGCGCGGCGGCTGCCAGCACTGCCGCGCTGCTCGCCCCGGCCCATCTGCCGCCCATGCTCGGCTCGGCTGACACAGATTTATAATTTCATTCTTTAATTTGGCAACATTTTCTCTTCTCTCATTATCGTAACTGGAATTCAGTACCAGCATTCCTCACTTTGTTTACCAGGTGGTGGTTTTCTTTTGTTCCATTTTGTGAAGATGAAGAAGCCAACAACAGGAATTCTGTGTTGTGAACTGCAGTGGTTGTCCTCTGGGACCTCGGGCCTGTCCTGCTGAAGTGCTCTCTGTTTCTGACACTTGGAAGCCATTTCCATTTTTTAAATTAGTTTCGTAGGAGGCTTCTTTTCAAAGAGCCTAGCGTTCCTTATGCCCATCCCTCCTGTGCTTCCCCCCTCTCCCCAATTCCTAGGAAGATTTGGAAATGGTTACAAATAGAAATTATAAACATTAGCCCTGGCTGGTGTGGCTCAGTGGATTGAGCTTCAGCCTGTGAACTAAGGGGTTGCTGGTTCGATTCCCAGTCAGGGCACATGCCTGGGTTGTGGGCCAGGTCCCCAGTGGGGAGTGTGAGAGAGGCAACTACACATTGATGTTCTCCCTCTTTTTCTCCTACCCTTCACCTCTGTCTATAAGTAAATAAATAAAATCTTTAAAAAATTATAAACATTAGCCTTGAGCTATATATATACTCTCTTCATCTGGTGGGCGCCCCCCTCCACTCCGAGGGCTATGTTGTTTGCTTAGTTTTCATCAGCACTACAGAAGCTAGACGTACACTCTGGCCCAAGCACCCTGAACTCAAGATGGGATTTTCATCTGAATGGGTTTGTGTTTCAAAGAGCACTGGGACAGGCAGCCAGACCACTAAGAATTTACTGCAGTGAAACTAGAGCTGTTAGTCACCCGAGAGAGATGGTTTTTCCTGAGAGCTGTGTTGATGGGATTTGTTGGGATGGGGCGGCTGCAGCCTGAGAAGCCTCCTTGAGCTGACACTTTGCTTTGAAGAGACAGTCCTTGTAAGACTTTGCGCTACTTTTCTCTCTAGGTTACCCTGAAGAGACTTACCCAATTTATGACCTTTCAGATTGCGTCAAGCGTAGGCAAAAAACAATCCTGGTGGATTACCCTGACCCCAAAGAGCCCTCTGCTGAAGAAATAGCTGAAAGGCTGGGGATGCCAGAAGAATCTGACCACGTGGTCTGGGAACTGCCCACCGACCCCAGAGCCCGGGAGGATAATTCTGTTACATCATGTGACCCAAAGCCGGAAACATGTTCCTGCTGTCTTCATGAAGAAGAGGACCCTGCTGTCTTGGCAGAGAATGCTGGGTTTGTCGCAGACAGCTACAGTGAGCAGGAGGGACCCGCCACAGACGTGTGGCCCCGGGACTTCGGAGTGGAGGGCTTGAGCGTCGGCGCCTACCAAGCGAGTACGTGTGGCACTCTGAGGAAGAGGAACCCGGAGGGTTTAGAATGAGAACAGCCAGTTTGGGGAAGTATCCATTACTCCAGTCCCAAGAGGACCTGTCTCCCTCTCTCAGATTTCATCCTTGGCCTTGTACTTCATCCCTAGTGTTTAAATGTCATAGCCAATCAGGTGACAGCCACGGATATCACATGTCTCCCCGGTGCTCCCTCACCTGTCACCTTGTAAAACATCATAGAGATTAGTAGGAACACAAGATGACTTTGCTCTTTTATCTTCCTGCCTTTCCTCCGTCAGAGAATTGATCCACTGAGTAATTATGTTTGGTTTATCATAATTACAGATGGAACCATTCAAAGGCAGAGGTCCAGTACTTTGCACTAAGAGTAACAGATGGTTCACCTGTGAATGAACATCAGTTTACACATGGTGAGGACTTAAGGTTGCAAGAGTGAAGATCTCAGAGTCCAGGATGCCTTATTCTCTGGGCCTTGAGCAGGTTAGTGGTCCCCTGGATTCAAGAGAAGAACATTTGGTATTGGGGGGTGATGGGGCCAGAGCAGGGTGGGACTCTGCTTTGAGCTGAAGCTCCTTCCTCACAGCAAGGGCCCAAAGACTGGCACTGTCTTGAAAATGAGCCCAGAGGTCTGCTGGGGGGCTGTTTTGCTCTAATGTTGCCTGGATCTCTAGCTTCCTTTATCCATGTTCTGCATAACAGAACTGCCAAACCCAGAAGCACATCTGTACCTCTTGTCTTCGGTGGCTGGAGGAAGCTTTAGGTAGAGACTTCAGTCCTAGCCCTGCAGAGCCTGCCCAAGGGTAGTGGTCCTGCTGTGAGCCTCAGAAGGCCAGGGGCCCGTGGCAGCCATGGACGGTCCTTGCCTTGAAGCTGTTTTTGAATGTTGTGCCCTCTGGGAAATTCATTTTCACACCCACAAGACTTGAAACAGAAACGATCCGGTCTGAGCTTGTAGACAGAGTGCCAGCCCAGCAGGGAAGCGGCAGAGTGTCTGTTGAGAGAACCAGTGCGGCGGTGCCCAGGGCAGAGACCGTTTCTCCGTCTGCAGTCCGGTATTTGGGTCTTCTGAGAGCTGGCAACAGTGGGAAGTGGGTCAGCACTGGGAGGGTTCTGACCAGACTACAGGCCTGATTTCTAAGCTGCCGTCTGTCTTCTTAAGGCAAGATGGCACCCAGTTACTCTGTCCAGTACGGACGAGTGAGTCCGGTTTACACGGGAGACCTGAGGTTTTAAAGAGGACGCATCCCGAGGACGTTCCCAGTCGTGACGTGTGGACGACTTGAAATTTAAGGAATTATGTAAAGGCAGATGTGGCTTTTAGAGTTCATTGTTTCTGGCACGAGAGGCCAGGAAAATACTTTAAATTACACATACAAGTGCACGGACTGCTGTCAGAGGCACGGGATCACACTCAGCACTGGTTACTACTAGACGGTCATCGTTCATCAGTGAACTACAGAGAAGTCACTGAAGACTGAGTCTTTAGAAAGTTTATTGCATCTGCCTTTGTGAGGAGCGTTTGATTCACTTTAACAAATGGAGTTGAAAATGTGTTGAGAAAGATCTAGATGGAATGTTATGGGTAAAAAATCATGTAGGTGCTCTGTGCTCTCGGGATAAGGTGTTTTCCATGTCGTTTGCCTGCGGACACAGTGAGGGGTTGATTTATGAGGAGAGTCGTGGGCCCCTGTTCCAAATGTCTTTTCTGCCTTAGGATGTGATGCCCTCCTCAGAGACATGTGATGCCTTCTAGCTAATCCACTCATTTATTCACCTGGCAGACACTGCTCAGAACTAGGCAATGGGAACAGAAGGCTCATTTCCTACCTTTTAAAAACTCAGTTTAATATGGAAGCCTTATCCAGTTTATTTTTTAAATGAACTATAAACTGCAAAAGGGCTCAAGATCATGAATTCTGCAGGCAGAGAAGTGTCAGTCATGAGTCTGTCCTCGCCTGTTCTAACTGCAGGCTCTCATCAGCCCCTGGAGCCTTCCGAGTCTTGGGTTCTCTTCTGTACAGTAGGGGGTATCTTGGGGGGGGGGGTCTGTGGGTTAAATGACAGCATCAGTGACTATAAAATGGCATTGGTCCTGTCTCGCGCATGGCAACCACTTGGTCAGTGGTAGCTAAGGTTCTGTGCTATAACTGAGATAGGGACCCAAATCTACAGGAAAAGAGACTTTGCCAAAGCACTTTGCAGAGGGTGTGGGTTTTGACGCATGCTGAGAACTGAGAACTCCTCCAGGCGGCGAGGAGGAGAGGACATTCTGGCAGAAACAGTGGTGTTGAGAAAGCAGTGGGGTGTGGAAGTACATGGTTGTTCAGGTACTTTGAAGAGGCTGCTATGTAAGGTGTTATGTATCCAAGTCTTTATATTGCACGTTAATCTCTGGGGGAAGCTGACGCATGGAAGTAGTTCCTGCCAGAAGTACAAGAGCTCACAGTGGCTCCTGGTGCCCGAGGCCTTGGTGGGTGCGTACAGCAGGAACTTACGTATTTCTGTCTCGGAAATTTTATGTACTTCTCAATCATTTCCAATTAGACAGCCTTTTTTTTTTGCATTTTCTGGAGTTGTTTTTTCCTTCAGGGGTGACAATTGCATGTGAATATACAGTCCAGGATGACCAAAATCATGGGGCTGGTTTCTATTATTAGCCTGATGCCTCTTGGCTCATTTCTCAGAACTGGTGTGGGCTGTGAACTTGGTCGTTCCCCTGGCACTGTATCTGCTGCAGCCTTTGGCCACTGGCAGAGCAGGCACACCTCAGGGGGCAAATAGTCGGCCTGGGATACAACTGCATCACCTGGGACTGTGCTTGGTAAATCAGGTGGGTGACCCAGCCAGGAGATGCTCTTTCCTGGTCGTAACAGGAGGCACAAGGAAAGCACCCTGTTATGGGTGAGCTCAGGAAGCGAGGCCCCGGGAGCTGTGTTGACGAGTGGAAGCACGTTTGGCCTCTGGGAAAGATGGCCTGCACCTCCTGTGGCTTGTGTGTCAAACAGCCTATGGTCCAAACTGGGAAACTTGGGAAAAGGAGCTTCGATGATAATTACACCAGGATGAAAGGGATACATCAGGTCCATCCTAGACGTAGGGTCTCCCTGTCCACGGTATTTAAAAGATCTCTCCTTAGCCGGACCACGAACACTACCAAAACCTCTCTCTCTCACCTTATCCCCTGCGTGTGCTGTTCCCTGCACAGGCAGAGCCAAGGAGAGAGGCCACAGTTCCGGCAGGAAGGGCTCTTTGCCTACAGAAAAACTCCCAACCGAGGGCGATAAACCAGGCCTCCTTACTACCACATTCTTAAAATTTCCCCTTAACCCAGACTGTATTCCAGAGACGTACCTAGTACTTCAGTGACACCGAGAGAAAACAGGAAGTAGCCATGCTGTTTTCCTGACCCTTTTATACAAATCTTTCTAAAATGCACCTAACCTTTCCTCATTGTTTCTTTCCCATGTTGATACAAATAGGACAAATTCCTTTTTGTTAGTTTATTTTTCCTCTGAGCACCGTCTCCTCATCTATGAATTTAGAATACCACACCCACCTTGCAGGGCAGCTAGGATGAAGCAAGGGATGGTCTGTGGAGGGCCTGTCCCGGGGGCAGCGCGCCCTGGGTGCTTGGGACAGCGTCACAGCTGTCGTCAGGTCCTGGGCGGCTGCTCGGACACCCTCCAGGCTGCGGGCCACCAGTTTGACCACCTCCCTCAGGGTCAGACCGTGACCTTTCCCGTCTGCTTCCAACTGCAATGGCAGCCTCCCTTGCTCTTGCCTTCAGACCTGCCACTGGTTGGAAAGATTCCCAAGCACGTCCAAGTTCTGTTTAAGTGGGTCAGGCCCTGAGTCTTGAAGCGCACAGGGAGGACAGCTCTGACCCCTGACATGGCTCCCAGACAAGCTGTGATGCCCTCGTTACCACCATCCTTCCCCCTGAGGTTCTTAGGACAGAGGAATGAATGGTGTAAAAAACATGTTTTTTCTCCTTTTATAGGAAAAAGAAAATACACAGTAGTGTTGAAACAGTTCAAGTTTAATTTGTTGATAGATGGTCTGTACTTTAGACAAACACTTAAGTTACACAACGTACATAACGTCAGCATGGGAAAATACCGACTTTGTCATTGCACATACCAGTAAATAAATACATTGATCCCGAATACCAAAGAGTTTATTCAAAAAGTCAATAAAAGCACAATTTTGCAAGTTCATCTAAAACTCCAGAGGACTTTGAACAAAAATAAAATGTCTGACCACTCCGAAATAGGGAAAGACAGTCTTGTGCAAATAGACACACACATCCTAAGCATTGAGAAAACTGGCTACACGCATGTTCTCAGCAAAAGAGGTGTCACCCACCCCAACCAAGGCCCCTCATTACCAGAAGCAGGTAAAAAGCTGAGTTGGGCTTCCCTTTCTGAGCCACCCTTAATTACTCCCTAGGAAACTCTGGATTTGGATCTCGGCCTGACGCCAGCTCTGCCTGGACCTTGGTGGGAGAAGGGGGGCGGGGGGCGTGGAACAGAAGGGGAAAGAAAAAAGGCACAGTGACGAGCTAGAAAAGGTAGTGATGAAAGCAGGGTCCGCGTTCCTCCAGCCTGACCCTCCCGCAGGCTCTGACAGTCTGCCCCTTGTTCTGTGGATGAGAAAACAGACCTAGAAATGTTACGTGGTGTGCGCCAAATCCCGTGGCCACTGCGTACAGGACTAATTTTCGTGAGAAAAACCAAACCTGCCCCAACACTTCTGCTCTGCCTCCCCCCGCATCCTGAGACGGCTGAACACCACACACTGGACATGGGGGAGGACCGGTGTTGAGTAAACTCAGACAAGAGCCTGTCCTTTGGCCCGTTCCCAGGCTGCTACTGTTCAGCCAGCCAGGGCCTGGGGTAGGGCAGTCTGGCTCCCTTCTTGCTGGGCACCATGAGAGAGACTCCTCTACCCGCAGAGGTGTGCAGAGGGCCACCTGGCAGCCTGAGATCACAACCGTGTCTTGACCCGGGTGAGGCTTTCTCGAGAGGGAAAGCCGGGACTCCATCGGGAGGTGGGCTTGTGCTTTCGGTAAGTGGCCGCCCCTCCCTCAGACCCCACTGTGAGGGGAGTAGGGACCTCTTAGTGATGTTACCACCATCGCTTGTTAAATTCAGAACTTCCTCCAAATTGGAGGCAAATGCCTGCTATGTCTAGAACAAAGAAAACCTTCTGCCTCTGCAAATTTCTTGCCCTCTTTGTCACTAGAGGAGCGGGTTCCGGAGGTTCCCTTCTAGCCTGCGATCGCCACACTCCCTGGATTCCGACACCTGTCCTCACATGGGCCTGGACCTTGCACGCTTCTTTGAACGAGTGTCATGATTTTTAAGGCACATTCACCAGAGTGTGTTCATATTCGTCCAAAGGCATGCACTCAACACACGGATTTCCTCGGGTGACGCGGAACGGGAAGTGATCAACAACCTCCTCAGACGGCATCCTTCGCATCAGAACCCTGGGGGCGAGGTCACTCTCTCACCGGAGAGCACGGACAGAATGAAACACAGGTACACCTCACACCTTTCCTCTTCGTTCTCGGAAACGTGATCGTCAAAACAAACCTCAGCTGACTGTTTGCAGGTTGCCCTTTCCCCAAATACACACGGACACAGAGATGCAGACACACAGAGCACCTTGGAGCCAGAAGAAAAAGATGATCAGGGAGGTGAGCTTCACCACTCTGCACAAGGACCGTTCAGGGCAGAGCGTGTCGGGATTTCCCGCGTGGCCCCAGGAGCAGTCACAGAAGAGCTGCCTGAGGTCCCACCTGCCAACACCCCAAGGGACGGCTCACTCTACTCTCGTTCTCTGACCAGCAAAGACCTCTTCCTGTGGGAGAGGCTGAGCCCACGTGGGCTCCAGGGTCCCTGGGAGCTTTGAGTCTTTGGGCCCATAGCTGTGAGGCCAGTGGTCAAGGGAGACCAGTGTCAGCAGGAATGGGATTGTCGGGACAGACTTCATGAGGCTGGGTCTCTAGCAGGTGAGACCCAGCTTCAGCCGCTCCTGCTTCTCATTCAGTGCCCAACAGATGGTTTTGTTGTTGAGCTGCCCTCCACAGCCAGGCTGGAAAGCTCAGCGCACATCCCTAATCCTGCCAAAATACCCAGCCAGCCCCTCCTGTGGACCAGAGGAGAAGGCAGGAGACGGAAGCTTGTCATTGTGCTTCTGATGTTCCCACTCTGCCTCCAGGATCCCCAGTCTCCCTGGAAGGCAAACCTTGAAGTCACAGGCCCAGAGGGACACTGTGGCCCAACATCAGAGATAACCTGGTTTCTGTAATCCCAAATGTCAGCAGGCAGGAAAGGGAAGAGCCAAACTGGGACTTTGGGGACAAGGGTGGGCCCACAGTACTTCCTGGGAGGTGGGCCAGCCCTGCATGGAAAGTTCTAGAGCCCTCAAAATGATCCCAAGGAAAGAGCTGCCTAGAAACTAGACCACGCCAACAAAAGTGAGATCACCGGAGGTGTGGGCAGGCCAGTGTTGGGAGGCGCGCGCCTTGCTCTAAGCGCCCAGCACAGGACACCCTGGACTGCGAGGGACTGCGAGCAGACTACTTCCACTTATGTCGAAACAGCTTCACCTCACTACAGAGCCTCGCCTGCAGGTTTAAGTATGACTTTCATGTCTCACTTGCTACACAGCCTCTCCAGGCACATCTACTCTGAAGCGAGAACAACTCCTGCTTGCTTGCCATGGGTTTCTGGTCTCCATCTGGGCAAGCAGCCTCCCCCAGGGTAAAGGACAACACGAGAGGAAACCTCCCCAGTCAGGGAGAAGGACAGCTTGGGAGGGAGAGTTCAGGCCCCACCCTGGAGCAGCCTGGCTGGGCCTGTGCTCTGGGGGGCCACACAGGGGTCAGTCCTCATCAGCGCAAGAGCCAGGTGGCCTTCGGCGGGGAACTGCTCAACCTCCTACAGAAATGGTTTGGACTCGGGCCAAGGGATGAGGGCATTTGGACTGGGCCTCAGGAAGTCCCAAAAGCCACAGAGAGGGGCTTCGTGGGGGAGGGGGGAACAAAGAAATCCAGTGAGCTAAAAAGTTCTCTTCTCTGCCACTAACCAGCCAGGTGACCCAGAGCAAGTACCATTTTCTGAGTGATTTGCATAAGGTGATAGAGCTGTACTAGTTCATCTCTAAGGGTCCTGCCACCTCTGATCTCTGTGGTTCTGAAACAGTCCTGCTTTCCTCATCCTACCCAATTCCTTCCCAAGAAGGCCCAAGAAGCCTCAGCAGCCATGACCTACATTGGCTGTGGCAGGAGCAGCTGCAGCCCACCAGCCTCCCTGCGTGCAGTCCAGGGCTGGTGACCAGGCCCCACACATGTTTCCTGTGCAGAGGCTGGGGCAGCTGATAGGGCTCCCCAGACAGCCTGATCCTGGACACCTGCTCCATGCTCAGCCACGTGCCTCCTGCATGCTGAGCCTGTGTCTTGCAGGCCCCATCCTCTAAAGACATCTGGCCTTGAGGGCCGGCCTCCTGCTGCCTCCTGCCTCCTCCCAGAGAGAAAACCTAGTGAAATCACATGAGCTACAGCCTTGGCCACCAGCCAATTCCCACAGCCAGGCCCCTAGGATCCGAACAAGGTCCTGCCACTCACTCCCCCCACCCCAGCAACCTCACCCAGGCCTGGCTGAGGCCTCCTGAATCAGGACTTTCTGCAGATGACGGCCAGGCTTGGCTACCACACCCTCTGCTGTGTGAAGGTGGTGTGCCCTCCAACACACAAACACACTGTGCCCCTGTCAGGGGTCCATCGTCATCTGACTTTGGGGCTGGGTCACAGCAGCCCTGTCTTGTGCTTCCTCTCTCTCTCCACACCTCTTCCTGCCTTCCCAGCTGAAGAGGCTGCCCAGCTTGGCAAAGGCAACTGCAGCAGCGTGCCAACCCGAGAGTGGGTGTGTTGCTCTCGGGGCGCAGAAAGAATTCAGTCTGGTCCCTTTACACACCCCCACTCCTCTGCCGAAGCAAAGGAGCCCGTTCCTGGCTGGCCCAGCCAGGGAGCCGAGCCGCTGAGAGCCAAAGGTTCATCTGGCAGGAGGCCTATGTACAGGGGGTAGGCAGGGCTGCCTCCATGGGCAGGCAGCTCCGCTCCAGGCTGGGCAACCCCAAGGGCCCACGGAGGCCTCTATTCACAGGCCAGCTTGCTGTCGAAGCTGGACAGGGCAATGGCGAAGGCCTGCAGCGCGCACAGCGGGTAGTTGTAGTCCATGGTGAACACGTCCTCTGCCACACGGCCGAACTGCATCACGATGTAGTCCGCTGGAACCAGGCACGGCACAGACACACAGGGAGGCAGAGTGAGGACAGCAGGGATGGAGATGGACAGACAGACACCCAGGTCACAAGAGGGAAGAGAAAGCGAGAAGCAGCGATGCCAAGGGAGCCCCAAAGGAGATAACGCACAGACCAAGTGGCAGAAGTGCAGGCGGGAGGGAGCAAATGGCCAAGGAGAAAGACGCACGCAGACACCGGGAGATGGGGAAGGAGCGAGTCCATCCCCAGGGGTATTCCCACACCTGAGACTGCTGGGTGCCCAGAATCAGGTCAGGGCTCCAGAGAAGGTCCCTCCAGGGCCTCCCAGCCATGCAACCAGTGTCCTTAGGCATTAGCCTATGCGGGCGGGGCTGGTGAGCTGAACCCTGAGCTCAGAACCCTGGCTAGTATGTGGACAGCAATGGGTAAGGGCTGGAACACTCACGGTCATTGCCATGGATGATCTGGAAGTTCTTTACGGAGGCCTGTGTGACGCGCCCGTGGAAGTTGAGTACGTAGGACTGAGTGTCGTCATTCCAGACGGGCGTCTTGTTCTGGAGCTCGATGATGGTCTCCGTGTGCTTATTCTGCCAGCGCGCTAGCAGTGTCTCGTGCTCCTGGGAGAGCAGACACGCCTCTGAGCCAGGCTCAGGCCTCTCGGCACGTGCCCAGCCCAGGGCTCGCGTCTGGCATCCTTAGACTTCCCTAGATGTCCAGGGCTTTGCATACGCAGAGGCTGGGCGGTGGGGGAGGGGCAGGAACTCACGTTTCGGGGCCGGATGCAGACTCTCTCGTGGACCATGTTCATGCCGGGGACAATCACACTCATCTTCCGCGGCCCCTTGAAACCCAGGACGTTCGTCTCCTGGGAAATAGAACGGGGGCCACCCAAGGACTCTACTTACTACTAGGGGGAGGCCGAAAGGGAATAAAAATGATGAGCTAGTTCTCAACATCTGCACTTGAACGTTGAAGGGGCATCCCTCAATTCAGCATGTCCAGAGTCCAGCTCCTGAGTCTCTGCCCAAACTAGCACCCCCCCTAGTCCTCCTACTCACTTCACAGCAACTCAGGCAGACCACCTGGGTCCTGCCAGACACCTCCCTCTTACATCCCACCCTCCAACCCATCAGCTAACGCCGTCCAGTCAGCAAGAATCCAATCACTCCTCACCACCACCGTCTCGCACTGAGGCCCCAGTAACAGACTGCAGAGGTCTCCTTGTTTCCATCCTTGACCCCTCTCCCCTCCTCCCTGTCACCTGGTCTCCCACAGCAGCAAGCCGTCCAGTAAGTCCCATGGTTTTCCTCCCTGGTGTAGGGTGAGCACCGAAGGTCTTACCTCAGCCTGCAGGGAGCCTCCCAGGATGCAGCCCTGCTGCCTCCTCCCCTCACCCCCCCCCCCCCCTGCCCGCAGACACTGCCCGCCCCTCTCCCTTCTGGGCGCGACCCAGGGTTGCCTCAGCGAGGCTGTCCCGGCAGCCTTCCTCAGAGCTCATCCACACCTGCACACTCCACAGACCTCCCTCTTCCCTGTTTTATTTTTTCATCTTAGCATTTATCAGGAATGTGTTTATTTTTGCTTATGTGTATACTATAGAGTATCTCCCCTCCCCTACTATGAGTATACTATAGAGTATCTCCCCTCCCCTACTATGAGTTTAAGTCCTGTAAGAGTATAAATTATGTCTCTCTTGTTCATTACGACATCATCAGTGCCTCCAACAGTACTTGGAATAGTTGGCGCTCAGGTTTGAAGCAATTCGGACTGCCTCCCCAAAGTTGACCAGCAGGTGGCACCATAGGATTGTACAAAAACAGCGCAACAGCTGTGGATTCCCAATGAAGTGGGGGGGGGGGGGGGGGGGGGGGGGGAGGGTGTGAAGAGGGGGTGTGGAGTGCCCAATCCCTCATTTTTAAATGGAGTGAAATCCCAGGATTTTGTATTCCAGTATGGCTGTGTGACATTGGCAAGTGACCCAATCTCTGTGCTTCAGTTTCCTCATCTACGTGATAATAAAACAGGATGGAGCTCTCAGACTGAGCATGCAGTGAGGCTGTAATGCAAAGGGCCTTGGAGTCCCTGCCCTGGGCCGGGCAGGTGTGAAGGGACGCACAGACAAGAGCCCAGGCCTCCTGCCCCTGCATTCCGGGACGCCCAGGCCCCACAGCTCTTGCAGGCAGGTGCCAATGAACCAAGGACAGCCCACAGGTGAGGCAGCAAGGCCGAGTGTCATGTGTAACTTGGGGACCAGGGACCCAGGGACCCAGGACTCACGTAACACACAGCTGCCAGCTCCTGACGAAAAGTTCCGCTTTCCAGAGGAGAAGGTGCCTTCTGAGGGTTGACCCCATTGTCATACACAGTGAACTTAGTGCCCATGAGGTTGGACCTGCAGAACAGGCAGTCAGCACAGGGCCACGCACCCCCTGCCCCAGGGCAGCAAATGGCTATGCATGTGTCCTGGGAGGGGCCTGCAAAGCGCTCTGGGCAGAGCTGGGAGTCCACCTGGGGGCGCACTGCTCACTGAACTCCCCTCTTTAAGGGCAAAGGGCCTGGACTTGCTCCGAGTTGAATGCAAGAGCATCTGGGTGCAGTGAGGGACATCTGGGAGGTCTGGGTTCCACAGAATGTCTCCCTGGAGGTACAGCTGTGAGTGCATGGAATGGTACCTGGCAGGACAGCGGAGGGGACCGTCTGTCTGTCCTAGCCAGCCTGTGAGTCTTGGGCCAGCCCCATCTCCATGGCTTTCTTACTTCTAAGCTTGATTTATATTCCCCAAACCTGGCACTGTTGCTCAGCAAACCCTTTTCCCCCGGGTGAGCTCAGAGCCTTCCCCGCACCCCAGGGTTGCTCTCGCTTCCACCAAGGACTCACTCTCAGCCTTGTCTCTCAGCTCTGGCCACGGGCCAAGGTGACCCCTCCATGGTGGCCTACATCATCAGTGACATCCTGGGGTTTGCTCTCTCACTCTAGGTGGGCCTGTGCCCCCCACCCTCCAGCTGGGGGCAGCTCAGGGCAGGGTGTATGAGGCCCATCTCCCAGGCTGGGTCAAGGCTGGCATGGAGCTAATAGTTGGACCTGAGAGACAAAAAGATCCAAAGAGAGGATCTGACTCCTGCCCTAGACCAGGACAAGGTGCCTTCTAGACAGAGAGCCTGCCCCAACCCCTTCCCGGGGGGCGGGGGGCGGGGGGGAGCTGGTACCGCAGTTTCCCCACGTAGCTGTCCCCTCCTCGAGACAAGTCTGTTGGGTCCACGGAGATGAGGTAATTGGAAGTTTTACTCTTCTTTCTTTTCCTTCCCGCCAGGAGGAACACCTTGGGGGGTAGAGCAAGGTCACCTTCCAGGTCCACCTTCCAGCCTCTGGTCTGCACACAATCAGAGGCACTCACACGGGGACTCTCCATCAGCTCTGAATACATTGCGCACGCACACACACACACACATGCACACTGGCAAACACAAGACTGCGCTGAGACCAGGCTCCAGGGCATCTGTCTCTGGGGGAACTGAGAGGTCAGTGTTGGATCTCAAGCGCCGGCCACATTCCAGCCCCCAGGACCCCCCGCCTGCCCAGGTGAACGCATGCCCAGGCCAGCCTCACCTTCTTCCCGTCCTCTCGGTCCAGGTGCAGGAAGTAGGTGGGGTACATCCCTCGGTCCATCCCCTTCTTGTCCCGCGTGATGCGGCACTTGATGGTGATGCCCTGGGGGGCCGGCCTCAGTGCAAACTCCTCAAGATCCTGGACCTCAATTTCCACTGAAGGCTCTGGGGCTGTTGGGCTGGGGGCCGAGGCTGCCTCCTGTGGGAGAGAGAGCAGGAGCCTGAGCCCTGGGGACCCTGAGCAGCTGCAATTGGGGGCCTGGGGTCCACAGCTGACCCCTAATGTGGTGGTCGTGGGACATGGGGCAGAGCCCTTCCCTCCCTCCTCCACACCTGGGGGCAGGTTCTCAGAGGTCATCCTGCTGGACCCTGGCTCCCCTGCCCTCCCAGCCTGGCTGAAGAGAATGGGAGGGCGGGAGGACAGGGGAGCCAGGCAGAGCAGCCTGGCCAGAGCAGCCTGGCGAGCCAGTCACCGTGTCTCTCCATGCTCATCGCGCTCCAGCTGGATGACCAGCCCCGTGCACACGCTGCTGTCCTTCCTCACTCACCCTGGTGGACTTCTTGCTAGTAGCGGAGCTGGGGCGGGTGTTGCTGTTTAGCTGGGAGGAGCTGGAGCTGTTCTCGTCTTCATCGTCCTCCTCCTCCTCAAAGCTCATGCTGCTGGAGACACCTGGGCCAGGTGGAAGGGCAGGAAGGGATGGCGGGTCATGCACACCCAGACAGACATCTGTTCCCAGGCACCAAGCCATCCACACCTGCGTGTGTGCACACGCACAGGCCGAACATGCACGCGCACATTCGTGCACACACCCCCACACACATCCCCATATACATGAGGACACGCACTCTGGGACTGGCACGAACCGTACCAGTGAAGCTGGCACCCCCAGCTTCAGTGCTGTCCCTCCATCAGATGCCTGCTCTCCAGCCCTCACCATGCCCATCTGCTGGGTAGCAGCCTGAGGAGCTGACCCTGTGCTGGGAGCCCCCATTTCAGGGTTACCAAAGGCCTTGGCAGGCACCTGTCTGGAGAAGGCCCAGCCTCTCTCTCGGCCTGACGTGCGGGGCTGAAGCTTCCTCTCCCCGGCCTGCCCGTGGGCCTCTGTGTGCATCTCCCCACTCGAATGCTGTCTCCAGCCTCATGTTACCCCAGCGGCCCTTTCTCTGGGAAGCTGTCCCTGATCCAACTGCTCAGAATGTGGGGCACTGCTGGGCTTCCTGCCGCCATCCCATGCCAGGTCTCCCTGGGGCAGGGGTCCTGGTGGAGGAACTACCTGGGCAGCAAGTTTCCTGGGAGCATCGCCCTGCCTCTTGGCATCCAGGCCCTGCTCCTCTAGCTCAGAGACAGGGGAACGTTGTACAAAAGGAGCTTTTTCAAAGGAACCGAAGGGGAAGGAAACCTGCCCCCAGACCTGGGCCTCCCTGGGGCAGGCGATATGGATGGGGAAGACAGGGCTGGTTACCCTAGTTCATGCTGCTTTCTTTTAACGTGGCCTTCAGGAGCCCCTGCCCCAGTTTCTCACTGGTCTCCGATTGTGCCCCCCACCAGGTTTGGGAGGGGTTGGAATAGACACAGGAAGGTTGTGCTCCCCAAGAAGGGTGTACCTGAGAACCTGGGACTGAGCTTTGGGGGTGTCGCTGGACCCCCACAGGGCTCACCCTTCCTCAGCATCGTGGCACGGAGGTCCTGCCCGCGGGGCTGTGCGCCCCCACCAGCTGCTGTCTCCCCCGCGTCCTGGGCGTGGTCCAACTGGCCCACAGTCAGGATCTGCACTGGGCCTCGGGCCTCAGACTTGTCTTCTGCCAGAGCCACTGGCCCGCCGGTGCCTGCAGGCCACGGGCACTCCTGAGTCCCGCCGGGTGGGGAGGGGGGGGAGAGCTGGAGCCACAGATGTCCGTGAAGTGGGTGAGGGGTGAGTAGGGGGACCCTCTGCAGAACTATTTGCAAAGCTGACTTTAAAAACAAGTGATTGCCGTCAGCAAGGTGTCACTATCAAAGATGGGTAAGCTGTGATAGGACACAGGTTTTGTTGCTTGTGCTGTTCCCCCACATCAGCTGCCGAGGGTTGGTGTGAAGTGCTTCATACCCCTAGGAAGATGGCAGGACATCTGCACACCAACCGCACGGTGAGAAAGACAAGGTGCAGAGAAAGGACCCATCCGGGCCGCAGACCACCTCTCGTTCACAGACGTGGGCAGCTCCTTAGTGCTGGTGTTCTTTCGCTCTCAGACACACACACGCACACAGTAAACTCACACACCATTAGAAACATACGGGGCCCCTGCCCTGGCTGCTGGGGCTCAGTGGATGGACTGCCGGACTGTGAAGCAAAAGGTCACCAGTTCAGTTCCCAGTCAGGGCACATGCCTGGGTTGCGGGCTAGGTCCCCTGTAGGGGGCACTAGAGAGGCAACCACATGTTGATGTCTCTCTCCCTCCTTCTCCCTCCCTTCCCCTCTCTCTAAAAAAATAAGATCTTTTAAAAGACACACACACACACACACACACACACAGCCCCTTGAAAGAGGTTGAGGCTGGCAGACCTTCGCCTTCCCAAATGGAGGCTCTCCCACCCCATGTCATCCTTCCTCCCCAAGCTGCCACAGCTTCAGTAACAAAAGCAAGGCCTGGCCCCCATAGATGGCAGCCGCCTTGAGTGGGTGGGCTGTCCTAAAAGCAGCAGTCAGCTCCAGAAGCCCACGGACCCGGCAGCCCACTGTCCCATCATGACCAGAGGCCTGGAGATGGGACTCGGGGCAGGGGCCACTGTAACCACCCTTGATGGCTGAGGATCTCTTTAGAGGTAGAGGAGCAGGGAGACAGACTGGTGTGCGGGGCTAGAGAGTGGACCTGGGACGAGAGTCAAGGAGCCCCCATGATGGCTGGGAGGCTGCCTGGGCTGGGTTGCCTGGGAGGCAGGAGGCCCCACGGGACGAAGTGTCCTGGGTCAGTATGGAGGTGAGGGTTCTCGAGCTGGGCAGGGGCTCCGGGGCCACAGCAGGGCTGGACTTCACTTCCTGGCCACCTGGAGGGCCTGCCACACACCCACAGGCCACCCAGGAGCTCCAGGAGCCAGATGAGGCCTGTGAGCCAGCCAGCTGTGTGGGGCCCTGAGTGCACCTGGTGCCTTCACCAGGACCTCCCACTGTGCCCCCCCCGCCCCCCCCCTCAGGAAGATAAGCCTCCCCCAACCCTCAGTAGGGACCAGGCTCTGGTGCAGAGCTGCAGGGAGGGCGAGCCAACCTTTATGCTTCCCCTTCTTCTCCTTCCTCGAGGCCCCGCCCTGGCCCCCCGTGGCTGCTGCTGCCTTGGTTCTCTTGGCTGAAGCTGGTGCCGTTGAGCGGGTGGCTCCCAGCTGCACACTAGCAAGTGAGTCAGCCTCTTGAACTGCTTAGGAAAGAGCCGAGACAGAGAGACAGGCACTAGGTAAGACCAGAGCTCCTCACACTCCTCAGCACATTTCCCAGCCCCCAGCACCACCACCACTGAGCCCTGGCAGGGCCTCTGTACCCCCTCCCCCAAATCTCTACCAGGTGCAGGTGCTGAAGGTGGCACCCCCCAGCCCAGTGTGACACAGTCAAAAGCCTGCCCGTTCCACCATCAACCAAGAAGCAGGGTCGTTGAAGCTCTGGACCAGCAAACCATTTGGGCCTGGGCAGCGGGAGGGAGAGTGTCTGGGAGAATGTGGGTCATCAGAGGTGATAGACAAAGAAAAGGCTGCACATCTTGGAAAAGACCACAGCTAGAGCAAGCACACAGCCCGGGGAGCAGAGCGCCCTGAGGCAGGACCGCCATTCGGGACTCGGGGAGCTGCACGCACTGAAGAGGCCTCGGAAGGCTCGCAGTTGGGTGGCCTCCACGCTCTCCCCATGTCTGAACCCCGAGTCCCAGATCGGTTTCTCATGGCTCTTACGCGCGACAAAGACCAACGTTCTCCTGTAAGTCTGGTTCCTCCAACTTCCTCCCCTTGGCCTCAGCCTAACTGCTCACACACCTCCCCTCCAGGCCCCCTGCCCCACGTCCCCAGGCACACCACACTCTTTCAGTGCCTCATGCCCACTGGACTCCCTCTGGCCGTCCCACTCCTGCACAGCCCACCTGACTACCACCTCCCCCGCCGGCCCCCTTCCTTCTGCAGGCCCGGCTCCCGGAGGCAGCCTCCCCGACCTCCGCTCTGGGAGCAGGGGCTCTGCCCTTCACCCACACCGCCTGGACTCTTCCCGAACAGCACACCTATGACAGGCGGTAAGGTCCCCAAGAGAACAGTGACCATGCCTGTCTGTGTTCACCCTGGGTCCCTGGCCTCTGATCTGGAACTGACGCAAAGTGGGCCCTCAGTAAGCATTTAGGGGCTGGATGAATATATAACGTGAATGAGCTTAGCCAGCGGGCCAAAAAGGGTTTACGAGGGTAAACCCATCAGTTCTGATTTTTGTCCAACTCCCCTTGTATTTAACACCAAGAGCCAGCAGAGGGCAGCACAGGAGGCAGCTGGTGCTGCAGGCAGGTGCTCTAACAGCAGTCCCAGGCAGGCAGGCCAGCCAACCCCTTTGCACAGCAGCCTCGTCAGGGCTGTGTCCACCTCTCAGCGAAGCAAGAGAAGCAGCATGACCCAGCCTGCTCTGGACTCTCGGCAGAGAGTAGCATGCCGCTGGCCAGACCTTGAAACACACAAGAGCTGCTTCAATGTTCAAAGTCTGGAGACAGAGAATTTTCCTCATTTGCAGGAGAGGCAGCAAACCCAGAGAGGGTCGGAGTCTTGCTCCCAGTCACCAGGGAGCAGGTGGCTGGCAGCGGCATGACCAGAAACTCCGTCTTCTGATTGGTCCTTTCTGTGGGCCTGACCCACACTTCAGGGCTCAAGAAACTCCTGCCAGAATGACTGCACATCAGCGATGTCTCAGAATCTCTCAAAGCCTCAAGATGCTGGCCCGTAGCCCAAACTGGCAGAGCCTGGAGCCCCAGGAGCAGGCTCCCAGCCCATGCGCCGCCTTGAACTGCCAGGTGCTGGGCTTGGCAGAGCTGGGCTGTGCTGCCCACAGGGCAGCAGGCCAGGCTGCACAACAGCAGGTATCCTCTCTGCAGGGCACCCCTGCTACCCGTGGGACAGCACTCACCAGGGCAGAGGGAGGGGGTGTCGGCCAGGAAAGGGCTGGGTCTGTGTGGAGCAGCCTGAGCTGCCGTCTGAGGCCCCAGTGCTCGGCCCAGGTCCCTGTGCCCTTCCTCTGCAGGGCCTCTCAGACGGAGCACCGACACACCGGTGAGGCCCTGGGTGCAGACACCCACACAGAATTACTACGACAGACCTTCCATCTGGGAGGCAACTTTAACTTTAGCACAGGTGGGAAGGCAGTTTAGAGTCCGACGGGCCTGGGTTCAAAGCCTTGCCCCAATGCTCACTAGCAATGTGCCAGGGACAAATCGGTGGCACCCCTGGAGCGCAAATGCTTATGGATCATGGGCGGCAATGAGTTACTGTGAGGAATGAATGAAATAATGCAGGCGGAGTGCCTAGCACCATGCTGTGCTGCTGGCAGATGCCTCGTCCAGGGTGCTGCGCCAGCGCTCGGCACTAGGTGCTGCCTTCCAAGGCAGAGAACTGGCGGAACCTGAGGCCCCGAAGACGCTGTGGGGCTGGGGCCAGGGGTGGCGGGTGGGGGTGGGGCCAGCAGTTAGGTGAGAACCGTTAGCCCTGAGCTGACAGGCAGCTTCCAGCAGCTCCAAGTGGCTGTAGGTCCTGAAGAATCTGGGGTTCCTTCCAACTGCAAAGGCCAGGGGCCACCTTCTCAAAACTACTATCTGACGGAAAAGTCCCTGGGATTACCTGTACCAGCGGGGGACGGGGTGGGGGGGACTGGGTCCGAGGTCCGCCTTTGGGATCAGGGACACCAACCCTTCGTTTCTGCCCTGGGTACTCTTACCCTGACCTACAGGAGAGGGGGTCCCTAGCTCAGGGAGCCACCCCTGCTCCCACCCCATGAGCTGCAGAGAATCTTCTCCCCACCTCCAACCCATGGGCTCTGCGGAGAAGTGAGTGTGCAAAGATGGGAGAGCTGGAGGCTGCTGGGCATCACGGCACAAGCAGGGCCCTGCAGGTCAGAAGCCAGGCCGACTGAAGGTGCAGGGGGCCCAGGGAGAAGGGCGGTGTGTGTCTGTCTACGGAGACACGAGCTGGGAGCTGGTGTGGACTGTTAGGACGGATTGTTCTCGGGAGGCAGAACATGGTGGGGAGTGGCTGGCTCTGCTCCTAGGAGCTGCTGCCTCCTCTCAGTGAACTTCTCCAGGTCAGAAACCTGGACTTCTGACCTCCCAGATCCACCAGGTTTTAGCTTCTGGCTCCAGCACCCTGACCCAGGAGCCCAGGGCCCCAGGTGCCAGGCTCAGCCTGCACATGCCTGCAGAGGACCCTTGGCCACCCGGATCAGCACGGGGCCTCCTGCTGGCTGTCCCGAGGGCAGGCCGTACCTTGGTAGCTGGTGCTGCCGCTGCTGCTGAGGTAGGACTCCACCAGGGGGGCTTGCTCCTCCGACTGCCGGGCCCGCCGACTCCGGGGCCGCCCGTCGGCATTGGCCTGCACCATCAGGGGCTCCTGGCGCTTCTTCTTCTGCTTCTGCTCCAGCAGGGCCCGCTGCAGAGGCGGCGGACAGGCACAGAGGTCACCGGGCTGCAGAGGGCAGCCCACTGCCTCCCCTGAGAGGTTGGGCGCCCACACCGTTCTGGAGGTCCCAAGGGGGGCCAAAGCCCACTCAGAGCCAAGGCCGCATGTCCCTGGTGCCCCAGGATGTGGAGTCCAGGAGAAGGAAGCAAAACTCAGAGCTGTCCTGGCAGGGCTGCAGCATGGACACGCAGCCTCCCACCGCAGCCCCCAGCTGCCCACTAGCAGAAGCCCCATGTGCTGGTCTGTGTCCAGGCTGGTCAGGTAAAGGAGAGAGCTGCTTCCAGGAGGGCCCACTCCCCACCAGTCAGGATCCCCCCAGAATGGGGACAGCCCCCACTCCATGCCCCGAATATCCCAGCCCAGACTCTGGCCGGGATGGCGAGGGCTGGCTACCCTTCCACCCGGCCCTGGCCTCACTCACCTGCCGGTCAAGCTTCTGCTGCCTGAGGTTGCTGCCCTCATCATCTAAGACACTGCAGAGGGAGAGAGGGGCACTCAGGGACTGTCCACGAGGTGCCAGGGTGTCGCCCAGAGCCCACCCGGCACATCTGGGCTCTTTAGACCCCTCCTGGCAAGGCTGCTGTCCACATGGGGGAGAGGAAGGGAAAGGCTAGTGCCTGGGAACCAGCTCAAGACAGAGAGGCCCAAGCCATATTTCTGCCGCTCTGGGAGCTCATCTGCTGGGATCCCCGCTGCCCCAAGGACTCCCCGTTGGCCTGGCCTCCGTGAGCACAGGACACTTTCCCCTTGGGCCTGTGGGCAGGGCCTGGCTGGGTTCCAGGGGGACCTGTTGAGGCATCAGGCACAAGCCAAGGCCAAGGCTTCAGACCAGGGATGGCCCCCTTGGGCCCCCTCCCAGGTCTCAGCAGCTCGTCCCCTTATCTTTCGTCCTTTCTGGAGAAAGCTAGGTCCTCAGGGGCAGACCCTTGCCCCATGTGCCCAAAGCAAACTCCTGGCTCTCCAGGTGGCAGAGCAGCGCTGACACTGCTCCCTGGGGCTGAGGGTCCCCTCATTAGGGGGAGTGAGGCCAAGCAACCAATCAGTCGCTCAGGGCAGGGCTAGGGCTGGTGGGGCTGGTGTCTTTAGAGCAGACAGTGCACATCAACATGGGGGCCAGCAACCAACCACATGGCGCAGACACGGCACCAGGCAGCAGCAGGACGCCAAAGCCTGGAATCCCCAAGGTGCTGGGACAGGCGGCGCCGCCTCACCCACACTGGCCCTACCTCCCAGGAAGGCAGGGTACAAGAAGGGAGCTAGTAATTCAAACCACTAAATCTTCTTTCTAGTCCAAGACATACCTGGGCCCTGGGCCCTGGACCCCAAATTCTATAACCCAAGGTCAGGCAGCTGCCTGGGGTAGGGCTGGAGCCTGAGGGGCTGAGCTGTGGGAACCCCCAGACAGCCCTGGCCAGTCACACGCCCGATGCACGAGGTCTGTGTGTGAGGCTGTACAGCTATCTCATGCCTGTGTGCACACGCCTGAAGGTGTCCGAAAGTGTGAGTGCATCTACCTGGGTGAGCAGGTACCTGGGTATATATGCATGCACACAACTGTGTAAGAGGCAGGCGTGCTTGTGTGCAGGGGAGCACTGTGTGTGGAGAGGGAAGAGGAGGTCAGATCGCCCCCGGGCCACGGCGGAGCCATCTCCACCTCCTCCTGGCGGCAGCAGCAGCAGCCCTCCTGGCTGAGATAATCACTGACCCGAAATGTCCCCTGAGCTCATTCAAACTATCGCATCTCTGTGGCTCGGGGGGCTGGCCAGAGAGGGGCAGGAAGTCCATGATCACAGACAGCCCACCACACACCTCCCTAGCCACAGCCGATGAGGACTCTGCATATTTTAAACTGCCAGCATCTTACTGCCTTACCATCCGGGAGGACCTTTCCCGAGATGCATGGGCCCCTCTGCACTCAGAGGAGCCCCACTGTGATCTGGGTCTATGCACAGAACAGCCTTATTCGCCAAAACCCCAGCTGCCCCAGCACCGGAGAGAACACTGCTCAGAGACCTCAGTCTCCCTACCCTCACCCACCTGCCTAACAGCAGCACACAGGAGCACTGGGACCCCCTGAGGGCACTGCCAGGACCAGGTGGCAGGGACCCAGCTCCTCCAAAAAGCTCCGGCTGGCTGGGACGGTGAGTGTCCCGTCACAGAAGGCACGCACATGGGCTGGAGGGCAGCGGCAGGGCTGCCGAAGGAAGGGGGAAGGTGCCAAAGTGAGCAAGGTGCCCGGGCCCTGCCAGGTCTGGGAAACTACAGCTCTTCCACCTGTCTCTCCACCTGAATCCCGGCCCTGCCTGAATAACACAGAGAGAGGCAAAGCTTCTGCCTGCACACTGCCCTCGAAGGGCCGGTCCCGCAAGCACCGTCCGTCATGGTCTGCAGGCCGAGGAGTGCGCACTCATCCACAGTGTCCGTGACGCCGACAAACTGCAGCTGGCTCTGTGTGACACCTGGCTGACAGGAGCAATGGGCCTGGGGCCCAGCTGTGCTCTGCTCGCCAGGCTCTGAGCCCGCAACCTCGGGCGCGTGCTCCCGGCCTGGCCACAGGAGCTGTGGCGCCTCCACAGCGCGGCGCTGGCTCCCCTTCCTGCCCCTGAGAAAGGCTGCCCATGGCTAACGGGGATGATGCCAGCCGCCTACACTCTCGCAGGGCAGGGACAGGGGCCGAGGGCCGCCGTCTGGGTCATTGCCGACACTGGGCTTGGCTGAACAGGAGAAAATGACTTCTCCGGTGCACAAGTCGGGGTGTTTAGAAAAGGGGATGTCCAGCTGAGAGGAAAGCTCACATTAGCAAAGCCACCGTGGAACTTCTGGGTCCCAGTGGTGCCTGACTGACAGAAGAGGCTGCCAGCCATGGCCTTCACTGTCCGGTGCCCCCCCAGGCCCTTATCCGTGGTGGGTGGTGTTTTCCTGCCACAAATCACTGTTCCCCTCCCCTCGCCACGGGCTTTCCTCACCACCAGGCTGCACCCAGGGAAGGGGGCTGTTTTCCATGATACCGTCACTTCCTTTTCCTCTGTCCCCACCTCCATTTCCTGATGGGGGGCAAAGGACAGAGAGCTGCCGGCTTCAATGACGCAGGTGCCCATGCGCCCTGCCCTGGCTAGTAGCTCAGCTGTCCTGATCCACCAGGGTTGCAGGGTTTTTTTAAAAAGATTTTATTTATTTTTATTTTTAGAAAGAAAGAGAAAGGAGAATAAAATCAATGTGTGGTTGCTTCTCGTGCGCCCCCTCCTGGGAGCCTGGCCTGCAATTCAGTCATGTGCCCTGACTGGGAATCAAACCAGGGACCCTTCGGTTTGCAGGCCTGGGCTCAAACCACTGAGCCACACCAGCCGGGGCCCAAGGCTGCAGGTTTGACCCCTGGTCAGAGTACATGCAAGAAACAACCAGTGAGTGCACGAATAGGTGGAACAACAGATCAATGTGTTTCTCTGTCCCTTCCTCCCTCTCTCTCTCTCTGTAAAATCAATTTAAAAAGAAAAAATAGTAACGCAAGTCCCCAGATAAGATTACAGATAGAACAGACTTAACCACAGGCCTTCAGAGTGGATGGGCGACTACAGGGGCTGGGCTTCTAGAGAATTCCAGAAACTCGGGTGTCCTGCAGCGCCCAGTGAGCTGCCCCACCCCCCTCCACCGCCAGGGGTGGCAGAGCGGTGGGGAAAAGGGGTGCGGGGCTGCGGCGTCTGCTGGGGAGGAGCAACGCGTGCTGGTGACTGTGAGCACGTCTGGTCACGCAAGACCCCTCCCCCAGGCCAACAGCAATCCACCTACAGGAGGTCGCTCCAGGAGCGGGCACCGCGGGGGTCGGGTGAAGGGGTCCCCAGCACAGCGCAGTGTTCCTAGCGGAGCTGCACAGGTCCGAGCGGACCACAGTCACCAAGCAGGGACCAGCGTGTCCCTGGCGGTGGGTTCCTGCCTGACACAGATGTGTCTGGAGCACACTGCATCGTCCCTGGTGAGTAACAGCAGCGTGCAGTGGAGGACGAGGACATTGACGACGCCTGTCTCCGGGGAGAACAGAGCCGCAGCTCCCGCCCCCGCCCCTCCTCAGCAGGCCCAGCCCCCGCCCCCCATCGGACCGGTCTGCCTTCTCATCTCCCACTCCAGCACCTTTTCTCCACACCTTCCTTGCTCACCAGCACGCCCAGTCCCCGTTTCTGACAGGCGCTGTTCATGCGAAACACCAACCACGAGAGGAGACAGTAATGGCTTTTTAACGACTCGGGCTCCACTTATGGAATCACTGCCAAGCCCAGGCTGCCAGCTGCAGCCCCGCCAGGAGCGTCGGACGGGAGGCAGGGCCCGGTGGATGGGTCTTCCAGCTGAGCTGGGCGGCTTCTTCCTCACTGTGGCCTCCTGCCCTCACCTCCTGCTGGGGGCCAGGCCAGGGAGGCCCCGGAAAGCGCTGGCCTCTGGCTCATGAGGGTCAAACCTGGCCTATCAATCCGTGTGCTCTGCCCAGAGCCTCTGCCTCCCAGGGGGACAGTCCCTCCATGTCCCTGGGCTTCCCCTGGGGCCAGACAGAATCCAAGTGGTCGTGCTGGACAACAAATGAGGGCAAGTGCACTCCCCCCCGTCCCGGGGGCTGGAGAAACGAGACATGCCCAAGATATTTTAGGAAGCTGGCTACCCTGCTTCTTAGACACACCCTGTGTGCTCCAGCTAATCCACCTAAGCTGACAGTGGGCCCGGGGACCAGGCCAACCAAGGGGCACAACCAGCCCACTTCGTCCTTCCCACTTGGCAAAGGGAAGTGGGGAGGGAAGACCACCCCAGGTGCCTGGTTACAACCCCTGCGCCCATGCCAGACACCCTCCCTGCCTCTGCAGCTCACCCAGGCCCCCTCCGCCTGCTGCGGCGACTGTCCGCTGGGCCACCCCACGGCACACAGGCTGATGACTGAAAGTCTGCAGCACACCAAAAACATACTGTTTGCCGAGCTGATTATTAAAAAGGTATGATTTTGATTCATTCCCACCGGACAGCTATTGCTATGCTGTCTGTTGTCCTTGTCTCATCGGACAATCTAAGACCAAACAGGTCAGCACGCCTGATGCAACAGTCAGGTACGGGGCATGTTTTAGAAGGCCTTGCGGCACGCAGGTGGGAAATCGCTGGCCTAGCAGTGGAAATGCAGTGTGGGTGGGAACTGGGTGGGGTGGGCATGGGCAGCTCCGGAAGGGAGGGGCCGCGCGGCTCACGGGAGTCTCGGGTGAGGTGTCTCCATTCCCGCCCCAGGGCTCACGGCTGTACCAGGTGCATTAAAACTGCGGGGGGCCCTCGGCCCTGCCTGGGGACTTTCAGAACCAGTGGGAAAGATGCCCCCCCCTCACTCTTTCCTTAACAGCAAGTGACACAGGTAACACTGCTGCTTGGCCATGCACCTAAGGACCACGAGCCACAGCTGGTGACCTCTCTGAAACAAAAAAGAATGTGGGCAGTTGCTACGAGGCTGGAGTTGTGCAAACGCAGCCTTATGTTCAGATGGGTAAGAAACCGCGGTCTGTGGATCAGTGCATCAACTCAGGTCTCTGGCAAGACTGTGAAGGGGGCTCACTGAGCAGCTGGAGGGGTGGTCTGAGTAGCCGGAAGGCAAGTGGCCCTGAGGAGAAGCCCAAGTTCCACACAGGTCAGGGCGCACGTGTTCAGGCTCATCAGAAAGGCATCTGCATGGAACGGTAGGGACGAGCAACCGATGACAACCTGTGGGCAAGCGGCACGCTAGTCCACTGAGATGAACATTCAAAGGTCTCTGCCAGAGTCACAGGAGGGTTCTAGCATCTTGCTTCTCTTGGTTAACATGTTTACCAATGACATGAAGACATGGCAGGCCTCTCCAGTGACACAAAGGTGACGAGGTACTAACCTGTTCGCTAAGACAGTAGGAATTCAGAAGACCTTGAAAAGCTAGCAAAAGGTTCCGACAAGCGGAAACCTAACAGGGGAAGGTCTAGTCTCACGTGTGGGTCCCCAACACCCAGGTCTTGCCCACACAGGCAGGACGGCGCTTGACGTCAGCCTGAGGGAAGACTTGGGGGTTTGTTTATAGAGGCCTAGAGGTTCCTGGTCAGTGAGTCAAGGCCACCCCACAGACAGGGAGGGACCGGAAGCAGGGGTCCCGAGGGAGGAAACAGCAGCCTCTTCCTGCTCCGGCTGCACCTGGGACACACGCTGCCTGCGGCTGCTGGCCCTGGGCTGGGAGCGGGCAGAGCAGGCTGTGGGCAGCTACAGGGCCCCTGTCCACCTTGTGTTTCTTCTGCTCCTTCCACCCCGGGCAGAGGACACCCTAAGAATGCTTGGGGAAGGAGTGGAGAGAGATTCCCCATGGATCTAGGAGCACAGGTTCTGCTCCTTCTCCCTTCTCACCGCCAGGTGAGGTGGTGGGCCACAGCATCTGGGGACCGGGGCTCCCCAAAGGCAGAACTGTGAGAGCCAGGAGTCCTGCGTAGCCAGTTGTCATTCTGCTCCCCGGAACACAGAGTGAGGGACTGGCAGGAGGGTCCTCACAAGGGCCAAGAGGAGGGGAGCCCAGAGACACACTCAGGCTCCCCCTCAGGAAGCCCTTTCTAAGAGTCGCAGCTGGCATCTGCCGGAAGGCCGCCCTGTCCCTGGGCGTACACAGGGAGCACTCACACAGGACACCCTCCCAGCCCAAGACCCTTGCTCTTTGACCTGGAGCTGCCAGGAAGCCCCTCTGAAGGGAGAGTGCCGCATCCCTCGGGTGCGGAGAACCTAGGTGAAGCCCAGAAAACCAGGAAGTCCTCAAAAGCTACCTGTGGGTGCCACTTTGATTCAAAGTAGTGGGCATCGTGCCTGTGCTGGGTCGTGCCAGGCACACGGCCAGGCACCACATGAGGTCCCTGCTGTCTAGGAGTTCATGGGCTGGTGAGAAAGACACCAGGCACCAGCAGCAGGACCAGGAAGACAGCCCTGAGGACAAGGTGGCTGTCACTGCCACCCAGCACAGTCCTTCCCAACTCTCGGTGTTCCATCTACAACTCATGGTGGTAAGGTCATGAACTAGGAGCATTTAATACTCCTCAAGAACACAGATGAAGAGAAAATAGCAGAAATGGACTTAGTTGTAATGATAGAAAAAAAAGGGCAAATTATTTCAATTGTTAAACTTTATAAACTAAATGGTTCCTTCTAAAGTCAGGATGTGAGATTAATCCATGATCATTAAAACTGAGCCACAATTACCCTTAAGAAGATTATCAGCAACTGTCACTGTTTCCGAGGAAATGAGCCAGGCCTGGGGGGCGCAGGTGCAAGCCTGCAGAGGGGCAGAACCCCCACCAGCAGAGCTAATGAGAAATCGGTAGACCTCTCGCCCCCACCCCCAAACCAAACGACACATTGCAGCAACATGCTGCGACATCAGGGAGACCTCACGGCGAAGCCCATGCACGCGTGCCCATCCCCCGCACCTGCAAGTAAACTGCAGCGCCTGCCTCCTGCCTCGGTTTTCTCTGTGGGCAGCCAGGCATGTGGCTGTGACTGCAGTCGGCAGCCAAGTGTATGCAAGAGGCAGGTCCATCTCCTCCTCGCAGCCCAGGTCTCCCCATTCTGGAAGCCAGAACCCACGTCCAGCGCTTTCTTAGGCTCAGTGCACGCTCAGAAAGACCCCCGTGAGGCAGAAGAGATTCTGGCAACGTCTGAGTGCAGCACGCCCTGCTCCACACCTACCCTCCCTGCCACAGAGCGAGGAGGCCGGGATGTCAGAGCAAGGGGACAGCAAGCGGGGCAGGGCCACATCAGTGTCAAGCTGCTCCTCAGGGCTAGGTTTCAGGGGTGGCAGGATGCTGTACTCAAGGTGGAATGTGGGTCCCAGAAAGGAACAGGGGCAGGGGCTGGGCTGGGCAAGTGCCAAATCACTCCTTGCATGATGCCAGCACCCTGAGCACTGACTGGTGGACAGAACCATTTCCCAGAGACAACCCACTTTTCCAGAGGCAGCCTTTTTCTAAGACGCGTGCAATCACTCTACAACTTGGTCCCTGGCTCCTGGGAATGGCTTCCTTAAACAATGAGCCAGCCTGGCCCCCAGTTTGCAAGATGCTAAACACATCACCCCAACCGCAGCCACAAGTGCTGCTCTTTCCCTCCCTGAGTTAGCCTGCCGGCCCCCACCCCTACCCCCTGAACCCCCACACAGGTACTTCCACCACAGCACCAGAGGCCACTCGGCCCACACGCACTGTCCCAGCACCTCTGCTAGGTGTCAAGAAAAGGTTAATCGTACTTTGTGGGGCGGCACTGTCTTCTAGAAGGTCAGCCCACATGAGACCTTCAGAAGCCAGGATGTTCCAGAACTACCTGTGCCCCCAGCCTACATGCCCCACGGAGCAGCAGCTGTTGTGAGTCGGCCCCGGGCCCCAGACCCCCGACGGGTCTATGTGAGACACTGAGGTGTGGTTATGTGCATCTGCAGGAAAATTATGTGACTTGTGCATTCACATGTGTGTTGGTGGGAGAGGCACCCACAAATTCTAACCTGGAAAGACATGAAGCCCCCAAAGGAGTCAAGATTAGAGACCAATTCTCAAGAAAATCTTGAATCCCTCGGCCAGTGGCAGGTGCTCGTTCGTGGAAAGATCTGCTTCAACAAAGCCTCAGGCGGTTCTAGCTGGTTTCCATTTTGGATGCTGTCTGGACAGACTCACAGAAGAGCTCTTTCAGAATTATTTTCTATCAGTAACTGGAATCAGGTGTCCACCCCCCTCCCCGAGAACAGGCTGTTACAAGGCGGATCCTGCAGGTCTGTTTCTACCACCCACAGTCATGTGCACCTGAGTGGGCCAGAACATAGTGGACTCTAGCAGTCAGGGACCCTTTTCACACACATGCCTCTCTGGGAGGCCTAGAGAGGGCCCTGTAGCTCCATGGCAACCAAGGAGCCAATGAGTGGCCAAGGATCTGACGCTGCCATGGCAATGAGCTCCTTTCCGGTGGTAATGGAGAGAATTGGGTAGAGTGAATGGGGGAAAGGCCTGCACCTCTGTGAAGCCAGGGAGACCTTTCCTCACCCCAACCTTCACAGGTGGGAAAGCCCAGCTGTCACTGACTCACACCACAGCATCGGGCCGTGCTTCCCTGAGTGTGCCTGAGTTCTTGAGTGCTCTTTCAGCATGTAAAAGCAGTTCTGTGCATTGTGTTGGTGTGTGTCCAGATACAGTCCCATTAGCAAGTGGATTTCTGAGTCCCTGACAGATATAAATAGTACTTGTGAGTGGGTCGTAAGTGTCAAGTACTCTCCAAATACAATATGTGTATGTACACAAATATGTAGCACTTGTGTGAGCATGCGTGCATACATGTGTGTATACGGATACACGGTGCATGTGTAATACAAGCCGCCCAGGTTCGTGGTTCAGAAAAACTGTCTCTAGGAATTCACACTCTGAGTATGTGAATGGACCAGCAGGAGCATCTCTGGCCCAGTGCACTGTCTCGTGAGTGCATGGCCGCAGACCAAGACTGTGCTAGCTATACTGGCCAGTGAGCCGCTGTGCGGGGCCCAGAAGGGGGCTCACGTCAGTGTGCGCGATCTCCGCAGGAGGCCACATGGACTTGCTAGACCCGGTAAGGCCCACGCAGGCCCAGAGCACTGGCATCCTCCAGCAACCCTGAAGGATAAGGGGGTAGAGCAGGGGAGGCAGGTTCGGTCTGCTGGGGCCCCCAAAGTTGGGGTGGGAAGGACAAGCGCCTCCAATCTGAGCTCCCGGTTCTGGGTTAAATGGAGAGAGTAACCCGCACCCCGGGCCTGGCGCCCTGGACCCTGACTGATGCCCTCAGCAGTGGAGTTTGAGGACCAGCACCCGCGTACCTGTAGGGAATCCAGTCGGAATGCGGCTTGGAAGTCATGTCTCTCGGGGGCAGAGCCGCGGCTAGGGCTCCAGAGGCCGGGGTCCGCGGGGGCTGGCGCGGGGGCCCTGTTCAGCTCCCGGGCCACCCCGGGCTGCATCCTCCCAGGCCGGGGCGCTGGGCCCCGCCGAGGCCCACGCCGCACGCCAGGGCCCTGGCCGCAGGCTTGGCGAGCAGCTGCCGGCTGGCGCGGAGAGATGAAAGAAACGGCAGGGCGCGCGGGCAGCCGTGTGAGGGCGGGTGGCGCGCGCCGGCGCGCGTGGAAGTAGGAGAGGCGGACCCCACCGCCCTGCGTGGCTACAGCAGCTCGGCCAGCGCGGAGGGTAGGAGCCCTGCGTGGCAGCAGTGGCGCCAGCCCCTCCCCCCTCGCCCCGCCCCAGCGGAGACCCCACCCCTAGGCTGGCTTGGCATCCCAAACGTTCATGCCCCCTTCGCTAAACCGCCGGACTCAGGCTCTGCGCACGTGACCGCGCCGACACCAGCGCCCACCACTGGTGTGCACCGTCGCTGGGCAGATCCCCAGCCCTCCCGAGCTCAGTTCCGTCCTCTGTGAGACGGGGATAATTCTAACACCCAGCTACCTATCTCCTCTGAGGGATGGAAGCCGTTGCTCACGTTGGCGGCGGGCAGGGGTGGGGGGAAGCATATGGGTTATGCGGGGAGGGGATGATGACCCCAGAGAGCAAAAGAGGTCCGGGCTGTTCTGCTCTCTCCCTGCCCCCCCCCATGTCATTTTCCCCAGGAAGCCTTCTTTACTGGGTTTTAGTAAAGGAGACCTTTCCTCCCAGCTGAGGGGTTCTTCCTGTCTAACCCACAGCAGTCAAAGCAAGGGCAGCATTTGCGGTCTACTGCCCTCGAGGCCTTATAAAGCCACAGGTATTGCTTAATCTCCACAGGAGCCTTGAGAGGCAAGTATTTATCTCTACTTCCCAGAAAATAAACCCTCAAGAGTACTAAGATGCCCAAGGACATAAAGCTAGGAAGTGATGCAGCTGAAATGGAACTAGGGTCTCTGTCCTGCAAGGCCGTTTTTAGGGGCCACACCACATTTAAAAGGAGCAAAAACCTCCCAACAAAGATAAACTTGAAGTCTCCGGTGCTGAGGAGGTCCCGGCTGTGACCAGTACCAACTTGAAAGCAAGGTAAAGTGCGTGGAGGTGGGGGGCGAAATATCCACAGGGGGCGGCAGGCGTTTGGGAAGGGGTCTGCTGAGGGGCAGAGGCTCCACACTACATGTGAGCACCCCCACATGCTCTCTGGGTGCAGCAGCTCCAGCCCCCAACCAATCCGGAAGAGTGTCCCCGTGGGCTCCTCTGGTGCTAAGCCGGCTGTCCTGACGGCATGACTGGGTGGGAGAAGGTGTGAGAAGGCTCGCTTGGCTGAGGGAGGGCCTCATCCTGCTGCCCCAAGTCCACGGCCAGGACTGTCCATCCAAAATGCTCCCAGCCTTTCAGCCTTGCCTTTAACAATAAAAACAATAAACAAGATATTTGGAGCATTTGCTAAGCATCAGGACCTATATTAGTAACTCCTCTCATACTCACAACCTGGCTGGGGGTTAGGTGCTATTATCATACCCATTTCACAGCAGAAGGAACTGAGGCACAGAGAAGGCAAAGATCTTGCCCCAAGTCACACAGCTGGCCAATGTGGGAAGCGAGCTGGATTCACACACGAGCGGCCTGGGTCCAGCGCCCCACCCTCGGCTGCTTCCTGCCTCCCGCAGCTCCTGCAGGGCACAGGCACACACACGCAGACACAGCCTGTCTCTCGGGGCCCCTGGGGCACAGGCCAGGTCCATCAGCTCCATCTCTGTCTGGCACAGAATCGGCACTCTCTAAAGGCTGTGACCTCTTTATTTATCAACCTCTGTGGGCCACCACTGTTGCTGAGGTCACAGAGCAGACAAAATAAATCACCCTGCAGTGGAGAGCAGGGGCAGAAGGTGGGCTGTTGCTTGCCTGCTGGGGCGCTTGACCTGAGCCTTATTTGCATCCCTGTCAGACTCCCAGGATGGGCAGCAGAAAGGGAGTGGCCCCGGCCTCAGAGTCCAAGGCAGCTCGGGAAAGTGCCACCTACGGGCCTTGTCCTCCAGGGCCCAGGATCTGCGGACAGAGCCCTGCAGAGACAAAAGCCGCCAGCCTGGCCCTCCAGACTGCCCCTCCAGAAGCTGCAATCACAGCTGCCTAGAGCCTAGAAGACTTCCCATTCAAGAATGTGAGGCTGTTCTTCCCCTTTATTCCCAAATTATGACACCTTAAAGCAATCAGAATCAACTTGGAAGGTCTCAGGAGCCTGAAGTAATTGAATCTATTAAATAGACACTTTAGATTCTGTCCTGAGGGAGCAAAATCTGGAGGCAGAGTGAGGTGCAGAAATAAGACGCTGGCTCTCCACGTCTCTCTTCCTGCGGAGGCTGTGCCTGAGGACATGGGGTGTTGGGGAGCCAGTGGGGCTGTACGCTGGCAGGCGGGCGAGTGTGTGTGTGTGTATGTGTGTGTGTGTGTGTGTGTGTGTGAGGTGGCCCTGCAGTCCCAGTGTGTCTGCACAAGAACATCTGTTGGATGGTGTGCTAACGTGTGTGCATGGGGAAGATCAGAGTGTGTGCTCCTGGGAGTTCTAAGGGGCGTGTATGTGAGTGTTTACTCAGAACCTGCGTGAGTTTTCCTGTTCTAATGGCTTCCCAGGCTGACATTTTAAGTGTGCCCTTGGATTCCATCAAAAAGCCACCTCAGCAAACCGCGTGAGAATTGATGCACCAGGACCTGGGTATGACGCAAACGTGCTATCGCGTGGCCCTTGAAGAAGGGCCTCAAATGTAGCCCCAGAAACTCATCATCTCCTGAAACACGGCTGCACATCAGGACCAGCACGACCTCCTCACCACCTGTCCCCATCCTGCAGGGAAGAGGTATTTGCCATGAATTTAAATTATCCTTGCTGCAGCTCAGGCATTTTCAAACATGGCCATGATTCGGAAGGTAGGGCAGGGAAGGAACGTGTGTGGATGGAAGCAACTCGAAGGAGACCCTGGCAGCGGCCGCCCCAGCTGGAGGAAGCCCCTGCCAGCTCCCCTCGGCAGGACTAGTCCACCGCCCAGGGAGGAAGGCCGGCATTTTGGCAACTTGCTGTTTCCGTGTGGAGCCTTAAATTTTCTATTTCTAATTTAACAGTTTTATTGCATCTGAGCCACCTCTAAGTCCACTTTGAAAGCAAAAGCATATGAATAATAAATGAATGTCTATTCGGATTGCACACCAAGTCCCAAGGTGCCGGGCCCAGTCCCCTGCCCAGTAGCCTGACGCTGTAAACATGCAGCCTGAGGAAGGCCGTTCCGGTCAAACAGCGACTGGATATGACTGGGCCCAGAGGTGCACGCAGGCCTTTGACAGGTGTCGAGCGCCGTCCTGCTGCCTCAGGAGCCATCAGTCTGGCAGGAGGGACCGGAAGCTTCAAGGTGCTGGTGTTACAACACGGGTACACCAAGTGCTGGAGGCCGGGGACCCAGAGGAGGGGCAGACAATGGTCCCAAAGGGAGGGAAGTCAGGTTAGGACGAGCCTTTCCTGAGGATGAAAAAGGGTGACAGTTGAATTGGGCCTTGAAGGATGAGTAGGGTTATGACGGACAGATGAGAAAGGGAGAGGGAAGTTTAAGAGGTACCAAGATTCTGTGACGGGCCAGGTGCTGTGCTGGGCTCTGCCCAAAGGGCATTCCAGACAGAGAGGATGATATGAGCAACGCCATGGGGATATGAGTCTATGTGATTGGTGCACTTGAAAGCCAAGGTGTGGAGCCCTGGCCGGGTAGCTCAGTTGGTCAGAGTGTCGTCCTGATATGCCACACTTGCAGGTTTGATCCCCAGTCAGGGCACATACAAGAATCAACCAGTGAATGCATACATAAGTGAAACAACAAATAGATGTTTCTCTATCTTTCTTCCTCTCTCTCTTTCCCCCAAATCACTAAATTAATAAAGAAGGAGAAGAAAAAGAAAACCAAGGTCTAATCCAGTGTGGTGGCAGGTAAGTCAGTGTCTCAGTGTGGCAGGAGGTGGGCCTAGAAGGTTAAGGTGGGACCAGATTACATGGCACTCTGAACACCAGCCAGGCTGGGGAGTTTGGATTCCATCCTGCAGCCAACCGGGAACCACTAGAGGGTTTTAAGTCAAGACTAAACTGCCCAGATTTACCTTTGAGAAAGATAAAAATAGGCAACAGAGGGACACAAGACCAGAGGCACTGAAACTGCGAGCTGGCTGTTGGGCAGAGACGAGGGGGCCCTAAGCCAGAGCCCAGTCGGCGCCTCTTAAGAGCTACGGACGGACAGACAGACACCGTAGCAGCATGGCTGCATAAATGTGGGCAGCCAGACGACTTGGATAACTGCGGAGTACACGCAGACCACCGCCGTGTTCCACCTGATTAAAATGAGATAATGCAGCCTCACTGGTGTCTTTGAAAGTGCAGGGTAACCACTGGTAGGATTAAAACCAATGTGTCTATTTTCCAAGTCACTGCAGAACACCCCCCAAAACCGAGCCTAGACCAGAGGAGACACAAAACTCACACAGCACAGAACGAGGTTAGTCCAGCCCCACTTCTCGAACATCCTCCATCTCGAACAATCGGTTCTCAACCTGACAACCCTTTCGGGCTGACACCTGTATGGTCAGTCACGCATTTCTCAGGCAACAAAGGAGAACTGGTTTTCAAACAGATCGCTTCTCCAACAGGCTTCTGGAATGAATTAAGTTTGAGAACCGAGGCTCCGCTGGACTAGGGATAAACCAGGTGTGATGGTGACGAAGGAAGGCGCGTGCAGAGCCCCCGAGACTGCATCACTCACGACTGCCGCTTGCTGAGTGAGTGCTCCACGCAGGCGCTCCTGTACGGGTTTCCTAAGAGCAAATACGGGCACAGGAGGCTGAAGGGGAACTCCCCAGCTGAGCCTCCGAATTAATAGATGTCACGTTCCAAAGTGTGGCGGGATGACGCCAGGTGGGACTTGGGGAAGAGGCAGTGGAAAGCTGGGTCTGCACCCTCAGCCCAGACCCAGCTCCCGCACGTACAACACAGGGGAGGCTGAACAAAGGGTTGTTGGAGCTTTAAGAGGAACTTGAGAGAGATCCTTGAAGGACCAGTGAGCCTCAAGGGGTGAAGGGTGCTTGAAGGAGGCTGCCTAAGACAGCTTACTAGGTGGCCACAGTGGTCTCGGGCAACTGACTCAGGCCTGACAAATGCAAAAAGCGGTGGCAGCTGGCTGCCCTGATGGCCAAGAGGGTGCTG